AGAATATCTCAATAGTCCAAATCAAAATCAAAGGGTTGTGATCTTTGGAATAAAATATGATGTGTCAGACATTTCCTAATTTCCAGTTATCAGAAATATCCCTTTGTACATTGTGTTTCAGTGGACTCGTGATCAAAGTGGACTTGAGATCAGAGCAATCAGTTCTCTGGAGATAATGGAAATTGATTTGGTAATAGAGGAATGGATGTTTTGTGGTGGAGAAATGCCCGTGACTCCATACTTTTACCCCTATGTCCATACCACTTTGAAATTCTCAGATCTGTTCCTCTCATAATTCAAATAACCTTTTGGGGGGTTTTCAGGGCTGGAGGGATCCCTGGGTACAGTTCTACAGAACTCCAGCCCTCGAGAGAGGGTGGAAGCTCAGCCCTGACCTCTGAGCACCCAGATCAGAATAGCAGTAGGCTCCGAAGGCCGATGTTTCCAACCTTTTGCTTGTGGTACTAGCAGGCTTTTCCTGAAATTGCTTTAAGACCTTTTGTCCTTTTGCTGTTTTTTCCAAGTCCTGTGTATTTCCCTGACACAATCATTTTTTACAGAGAAATATGTACCGCCATCCATGGCAAAGGTACACATTTATTTCCAGGCTGTGTTTATAAAACTGCATGCAACCAGGTCTTGAACATGGCACCCTTCTCATCTCCCTGGGCCAAGTGTTACTGGAAGCATAGGTACTCTGACTCAGCTCCAAGAATGCAATTGGGCTTTGAGTGAAAAGCAGTGTTTAAATGCAGGACAGGAGAGGTCAAATTCATTGACCTGCAGGGCTCTCTGCCTGCCAGCAAAGCAGGTATGACAAATTACAACATGGGGACATTGGCAGCTGTCATAGCCTTTCTTCTGCTCTAGCCTCTAGGACAACCACAGCTGTGTGGCATTTTAAGATTTCTTAATTTTGAAATTCTTTAACCTACTGAATCCCAAGGCACTCCAGGCTTCCCATGGGAAGGTGGAAATGGTATTGTGAGGATTCACAGTCAATTTCCTGAACTCTAGGATGCACACTGTTGTACCCAGGAACATAAGTGCTGGAGCCAGGTTTTGAATTAACTGCAAGGACTCCGACCTTGAGATAAACTTTCTCTGTCTACTGGGATTATCTCTGTATAAGACATCCTATTTCTTTATTCCTCCCAGCATATCAGTCTCAGGTATTTGGATGGGATTATGGAAGCCCCTTTAACTGAAGTGCTGTATCAACCACTACCGCCTTGTCCTTCTGTCACACTGCTGACACCTACACGAGTTCAGGTGCTCTCTTACGGGCCGTGGTGCTCTATGCTTCTTGAGCTACAGTATTGCTTCTGAACTTGTTTTTGCCATTTGTATTCTTTATGGAAATGATTTAATTATTCAAATTTACAGAAATCAATGAAATAAGAAAGAATCGTTCTTTCCATGAGTCTTTAGAAAGAGCAGTCTCTGGTAAATACTGGGTATGGAAAAAGTACGGCCAACTCAAGTATTCATTCAGAAGGAATCTGAAGTCAGATTCTGTCTGTCAGAAGGAATTGCTACACATTACACAAAGGAAAGCAGTTGTGTGACTCAAGGCAGGTAACTTGCAACTCTAGTTGGGCCGTGAATACATTCAGTTAAAAGATCTAGGCCTCACTACAAACAGCAGCACTTTAAATCAGGTAGATTCAAGATGCAGTTTCCCTGATTTAAGTTAAAATAATGTGTTTATGTTAGGTACATATCAGTTTGATAATTTCCTCATGGACCTAGTTTTCAATTAATTGAATGGAGTAACCTTTCTCTCATTTTATTATCTATTCCTAGAAAACAAAGCAACAAAACAAAAAAACCCAATAAACAGAAAGAAAACCCCTTCTGTCCAACATTAGTAACCACAGAGTAACTATTAAACTTTAATTATGTCCAATATAAAATGATAGGAAAGTTGGAAATGAGAGTTTGTTGAGCAGTATATATTTAACTTGTTTGGAACAGTGAGAGCATAAGAAAAACTAGCTGCAAGACTCAATGAAATAAGGACTTTGGGGCACAGTGGAATTCCAGTTGCAGTGTCACTATGCAGAATGGTCCGGAACCTGCTTGCCTGAATCACTTCCTGTTTGCAACAGAACTTTGGGGGTTGTGGGAATTTTTCGCGGCTATTATTATTCTGAATGGAGTAATTTTAAGTTAATTTTCCAGAAGAGAGACCCAAAACTATCCTTTTTCTCTAGCACAGCCACTGTAGTCTGCTTCCACCTCTAGTGAGAGCTAACATGGGCTTCCATGAGGCTACAGAGGTCTGCTGTGTTCAGTGTCTGAAGTCACATGCCATCACATCAGTAGTTCCTACACTCGTGTCTTCAGTGAACAGGTCCCTGCACACTTCCTGGTTCATACAGAATGACCGCAGTCCTTCCGTCCTTCTCACTGGTAAATCTTCCTTTACAATTTTTTTTGCTAATCCTGGTGGGCTGCTGAGGTTCACATTTCTTTTGGATAGGGGTCTAGTGACTGATGTGTTTGGATTCATGCAGAATACTCATTGAGGCAATTCAAAATAGTAACCACTCCAGGGTATTTCCCGAAAAGACAGATCCCTGTGTTGCTCAGACTTCTTAAATCACTTTTTTTTAGGTGGGTACCAGGAATCAAACTCGGGTCCTGCACTTTCGAGGCAGACAGTGGAACCAATAAGCTAATTCCCTGACCCTTAAGTCACTTTTCATATCAGTTTTTATGTAAGTTACTTCTGAAATTACAGATGAACTTACTCAAATTATTTCAGTTATGTCAGACAGTGTCCTTATGATCACCTACAAAACATTACATAGGTGTAGTCCAAATATATTCATTCTCTGAACCTTCTCTGGAAATTTTTATTCATTTGTCTTTTTGCATTAAAAGACTAGATGAGCTTTAGCTCCCTAATAAAAGTTAAATTTGCAGAATATTCTTGGCAATTTATATCATCCTCTCTTTTTCTATTTTATTGATGTTAGTGAAAGGTTATTTTAGGTCAGAGTCACATTCCTTTACTCTTGATTCAGAAGTCTCTTCCATAATACGATGGTAGTTAGAAGATTCCCACCAAGCAAGATGATTATCTTGGAGTTTAGAATTTGAGATCTTGAAGAAAAAAACTTCACATGGCTATGTGATTTCTCAGCTCCACACTGGCAGCATTGGTCAGTGGCTTTATGTGCTCGGCAGGGTTTCTGCAGAATCCCTGCTTTGTGTCTGCTCTCAAGAGCCTCAGCAGTTTGTATGTGCTTTTCACAAGGGATCACATGGCGATGGTTCCAGTAAGGAAGGCTTTCCAAGTTCAGCCCTATCGATATTTTGGACCTGACCAGTTTTTAACTATAGGGGCTGCCCTGTGCAGCACAGGGTATTGGCTGTAGCTCTGGCCTCTACCTTAGATACCAGCAGTACCTACTCAGTTAAGACAACTCAAATATTCTCCCTTCGGACTTGGCAGCATGACCCCTGGGAAGCAAAAAATCACCCTTAATTGAGAACCTCCACTGTGAGGAACGGGCCGTTGTGGCATCAGATGACCAGAAGTCTCCAGGCAACCCTGTTCTGTTTGAGAGAAACTGGGCTCTCTCTGGCGTGCTCTGCCTGGGATTGAAGAGGGACACAGCCGTGTCCATGCCTTCTCTCAGGCAGGAGAGGGCTTGATGGGGCCAAGATTGTGTGGCCTGAAGCTTTTCTACTCTCCTCATTTCTGTCTTCTTAATGTGGAGGATAGTAACTCTGAAGAATTTTTAGAGGGTTTATTTTTTTAATTTTATTTTTTAGAGGGTTTATTTTTTGAGAGAAGAAGTGGGGTCCCTTTACAAATTTTAATTTTTAGGTATATAACTTTTAAGTTGTAATTTTTTTTTTTTGATAATTTGTCAGATTACCCAGATCATTTTTTCTTGGTAGGTGATATACAAATGGCCAGTAAATATAGGAAAGATAGTCACTATCACTAATCTTCAGGGAAGGGCAAATCAGTACCACAGTGGGATATTATCTCTCCCTAGTTTGACTATTATCAAAATGATTCAAACTAGCAGAAGCTGGTAAGCATATGGGATAGGGATGTAAATTAAAATAGTGAGTAGGGAAGATAGTGTGGAGGTTCCTCCCAAAAGAAGAACCAAATCTACCCTATGATCCTAGCCACCCCATGAGTGTATATATGTCCAAAGAAAATGCAATCAATATGGTGAGGAAACACCTGCAGCACTATTATTTACAGCTGCCAAGATACAGGATCAACCTAGGTGTCTTCTGTCTTTTAAAACTGAACAAAATTATAACAGCTCTCACTACTGTCATACTTTGTGAAAGTGATATTTCTGAAAAGTTAAAAAAGCGACCTCTCTGAAGGATTTTAATGTTTTAAAATCTTACATTTTTGCCAAAAGCCCAACATAGCTTTTGCCTATAGAAGGTTTCTGCTGTCTTCTTGATATTACTAATATCAACAAGCTTCAAATTAAACAAAACAAAAGAAAACATGAAGAACATCTGTGGAGGCTCTAGAGAGAGGGTTCTGCCTCGGTGGACATAAGTGCCATAATCCTCATGAGTTCCCAGGATCTAACTGCATATGTACTGTGAGCAGCCCTGGGGCCTTCTGTAGCATTCCTAGCACATCCATTGTTATTTCAAGCTTTTGATCTATACCATCAGAAGGGCTTATATTTTTCAGCCTTCCCAGAGTACACAGTACAATGCTTGTGCTATTGATTCCAAGGGAGCACGCCATCAAACTGATAGAAGCTTGTGAAACCAAGAGGGTGCATTGCAAGATAAATGGTTGAAGCTGTCCTTCATCCATGCTCCTATACCTGGGTTAGAGTATTTAGAGGTAGGTTAGAATTATGGTCAAAGAAGGTCCTTTACTTTTGCCTGATAGAATCATCCCAGCATGGCCCCAGATGGTTCTTGCATTTGTGGGTAAACATTATTTGTCACTCAGAATAAAAAAAAAAGGTGGGAAGAGGAGAATGTTAACATACCTATAGATAATACATGCACTGTTCCTGCATGTGTCACAATTAGCTGTGTCTTGCCCCGTCCGATATGAAAGCCTACAAGATAAGAACAGGAGAGCATTACAAGCGGTGATTGGGGGTCACTGGCCTTACAGAGCAGATGCCTCAAATCAGATGCTTTCCCGATGCCAAGCTCGTCATGGTCATGGAAATTGATTAATAAGGGTTTTCCACGTTGTTCCCCATCTTTGCCTTTTTTTGTACACAACCAATGCAATATCTATAGCTATGACGATATTTAAATTAAATTTAGAATTGAACATAGGCTACTGGGTGAAGTATATAATCTGATTCTGTTCTGAGCCCAGGGAATTTGGGATGCTTCAGTTTGGCTTTATATTTATACTGTTTTAAAGAAACTGTGAGGGGAAACCAACTTCCATTTGTTCCCCACCTTGCTACAACACGGGTTGGAGGGTTTGGCTAACTATGGCCTGTGGGCTATGCCTGGTCTGCTCAGCACGCTGAGTGGATTTTACAGTTGAAAAAAATTGAAAGAATAGTATGTGAGCACGTGTGCCACAGGGAAATCACATTTCAGTGTCTAAACCTAAGTTTTGAATTTTGACAGTAAAATTTGTGGAAATCTTTATATAAATACCTATACAATACCCTCAGTTTTGCCTATTTGCCTGTAAATCCCAGACTGTTTTCTGTTTGGCTCTTTAGAGGAAAAAACCTCACAGACCTCTGTAATAGAGTATCATCCCGCCACTGTCAAGACTTATGATTTAGTCTCTCTGGCTGCATTTCTTTTGAGTTCTGTTGGCCCTATGAGACCAGACAAATTTTTTCCTATGTGTTTATGTAGGGGGTTGCTGACTCTTCCTTTCCATGAAAAAAAAATCTATCTATCTATCTATCTATCTATCTATCTATCTATCTATCTATCTATCTATATCTATACTTGGAGTATTTTTGTAGTGTAGCATTGAATATTATAGAATTTTAAAGATTTGAGGGGAGAGTGTTTTTGATCAGGTTAGAGTTGACTGGACTATATCTTTGGCCAGTCAGGCTTCGCCCAACTACTTTGGCAGGCCTTTCCTCACCAGTATTTTCAACACATAGGATGTTTTTTATTTATTTTTTTTTTCCGTGTATTATTTTGTAATCAGGACAAAAATTTGTGGCAGGAGAAAAGCTTCCATTTGAATTGACCTGTAATCACTTCGGGGGCAAATTTACACACAGAGAGTAGCTCAACAAAGTAATAGTGTGCACAGAGGTTTTCTGTCAACATCGATGGTCAATATTTTTATCACCTTTGCTATGTACACTTTCTGTCCATGCTTGATGGGTTTTAAACCGAGAATAACTTTTGCTTCCTCATTATATTTTGTGTTGCATAAACATTTGACAAAAGGATTGTCTGCTCAGTGCTGAGATCCTCTCAGTGGGCTTCAGTAAACTCGGACATGACCTTTGAATGCTCTGCAGTTTGTTAATCAAGTGACCATATTCTGCCCCAGAATACTGCCAAGCATTTCCTGTGATTCATCATATGTGAAACAGAATTGGCATTGTCCTGTGGCTGCCTTTGTTTTCATTGTCCTTTTTCTGTTGTCGCATCCCATACTGGGTACCTTTGGATACTCAGGGCCCCTTTGGCTTTCTGGGGGAGAGAAGGAATGAAAGAATAGCTTGTGTCTTTTGTCTCCCTCTAGTTCCTCACACATGTGGGAGGTTTTAGTTCTTTGCCCTTTCCTCTTGATGGTACTTCCAAAGAATGCAGGGTTCCTGACCTTACCCACCTGACTCCAGATTTGTCTGAGCCTATATTGTTCCTACAGATTATGACCTTGCCCTTCTCCACTCTCCTATGCCATATATATGCATGTCATCTTCTTTTTTTTAATCAAGTGTATTGTACTTGAGCTTGGCTGCAAGTTCATTTCTGATTAAGGTTATTTTACACAGTAAAATGAGGATGACACTGAGCTCAGGTTCTAGCAATGACATAAATGTGTTGTCACATTGTGGAACTTAGTTGTAAATGAGGTGCTGCTCTGGTATTAGGTAGTCCTAATGTATGCCAGCCAGTAGTTGAGGGACAGTACATAACAGTCATCTACATGTGCTTGTCACATCTAGGCTTTAGTTACTTACATAAAAAAAAGGAGGGATATTAACTATTATTTGAAGGCTTTCTTTCAGTGACTTTCAAGCACATAGACCTTCTTGCCCCAGACCTCAGGCTAATCTCCGTCATGCTTTGCCAACATCAATACCCCTTCTTTGCTCAGTAACCTTTGAATTTTCTAGTGTCTCACTTGCATTAGAGCCTCGAGTCTTCCAATTAATTATGCAATCCATATTTTACAAAGGAGAATACAGTAACAGTTCAGGTCCAGGGACTCATTATTCTTTGACCCCAGGCGTCTGATAGTCCATGTTGCCTTGCTCGTACCATGGGACCTGTGTTCTGTGCTGTGTGTAATTGGCAGTTGGGGACAGCCAGTGAATCTGGCAATAACAGGCCAAAAGCTTCAGGCACCTGAGACTCACAAGAGGACTGTCTTCCTGGATAGTATAATGCTGCTGAGAGAGATTGTCTTTATAAAGCTCTTACTGAAAAGGCCGTTCTAATCACCTTGTAAAATGCAAACGTTTTCCCCATTTTAGTAAGCCGGTAGTTATTAAGTACCTATTGTCAGGCATTCTTTTAACTACTGGAGAAGACATTTGTGAGCAAGATAAGGGTCTTATGCATGTGAAATTTACAGTTAGAGGGACAGGTGGTCAGCTCACAAATACATGGGTGGAGGAAAGAATGAATGGTTAGATCATTTTGATACTGCTATTAATGTGAAGGACACGTTTTGAAGGCATTTGAAGTGGCTTTGGCTTGGCATCTGAAATGAGACCATAATAATATTACAGCAGTCAGTCATGTGACATCCCAGGGTTAAATAATGCAAGTGGAACCATCACCATCACATGTTAACCTCAAATCCAGCAGCGAGAATGATGGTAGCCTATGTGTAGGACAGGGAAAACGAAGCCGTGTACCTAGTGAGTCTAGAATGGATGGAGCAAATGGGAGTGGAAGGAGATGAAGTTGGGTCATGTATAATGGGAAAGGGTTTGGACATTAAGATTAATGGGAAGCCACTGTAGAGTTTTTCTTACAGGTGTCTGAAAGCAGAACAAGGGAAATACTTCCTCTCATTCCTCCTACAGCATCGATGTCATTCTATTTCTTTTCTCCTATTTCTTATATTTACATCCCAGCCTAGTTTGCTTCTTCTTGAGGAAAAAATGGCTTTCTCTGACATCTGTTGGTTAGAAGCAGAAGAGTCATTATGCCCACTTTGTATGGAGACCCATCCTGTGGTCATCCTTATTGCAGCTATTTTGGGGAAAACAAAACAATTTAATGGTCAGTCATCATTCTACCACATGTCTAAGGAGTGTATTTATTGCCATAACCATTTCTTAGAGGCTATTCCGTAAGTTTCTAAGATCCTCTTATTGTTTGAAGGAATCAACTGTTTGTAGTCAGTGAGAAGTCAGTGAGAAATCGACTTGTGGGTGGAATTTAAAATGTTGACCTGTATCATGTGCCTAACTCAAAGGCTGCGGCCAGCAGTTAATGTCAGTCACACGATGCCTGATAAAATTTTATGAAGCAAGAGTGTTCTCAGAAGAGGGCTTAAAACTGTGTAATCTATTGTGCTTATTGCTTTGATAATCCATCTCATTGTCCTTGGAGCTTCAAGCTGTAGGGTTTGGCTTCACTGATAATTTTATGGTCACATTAATAACTGAGCTGCAGCATCTGAACGAATGTGTACTCCAAATATAGATAAAACAGTTAAGTTCTTCTACAGGGCGCGGAACACAAAGTGCTGTTCTGGAATTTCCCAATGTTTTCCTTCTCAACTTGGAAAGACATCATAAAACCAATACTCTCAGTAATTATCTTTCTGTATTACCACTGCTATGAAGAACAGCAATGCAAAAATTTCAGACTGCTAAATCAGGTACTTCTGTGATAGCAAGGTAGAGATATTTTGTGGACCATACATTTAGAGATGTAAGTGTTTACTTAGTTTGTTTATCTAAAGCTTCAAACAGAACTTTTTAAAACAAAAAATATATTCTTCTTCTTAATTGATAATTTTTAAATCTTCCTTGTCTTATGCTTTTGCTTTGAGGAGCCTATACTTTATTTAGTACAATATCTGATATAATAGATGGTGCTTTGTGAGTGATCAGTTAATAGTAATTTGACAAAAATCATACAGCCTGCCTTTGTGTTCTTCCATGGAAGTCCAGAAAAACATATTTTAATGAAAGATTTTCCATGGAGTGCAAAAAGAAAAGTATAAACTGTCAACAGTTCTAGTCCTCACTTTTCTCTTAATACAAAGCCCTCTGGATTCTAATGGCAAGTATATTCATCATAAATAAGGATTTTGTACCAGTTAACATTGGGCCATTGCAGTTACTCTTGAGTATTTCTGCCTCAACAGTGTGTGTGTGTGTGTGTGTGTGTGTGTGTGTGTGTGTGTGTCTGTGTCTGTGTCTGTGTACCTAACACTCAGCACCAAGAATATAGTCTGGTCTTTGGGTTCTTTTATTTTTTGTTCTTTTTGACCTATAGCTTCTGTCTCTCCAGAGAACAGCTATAGCCCAGGACCAGATCAGGAATCTTGAATATACTCTTTGAACACTACTTTTTTTTTTTGTACTGGGATTGAACTTGGGTCCTTGTACTTGTGAGGCAGGCAGCGGCACCACTGAGCTAAATCCCTGGCCCCATTTGAACACTTGGTCAGGCTGGGGGGCTTTCTTGAAAGTTGAACTAGACATGTTTTATAAAGTTAATAGGGATTTAAGTAAAGAACATGGAGAAGGACTTGATAACTGACTGAAATGTTAGGGATTTGGACAGGTTTACAGAACATAGCTTGGAATTGAGGGCATCCCCAGTCAAAGACCTTAGAGCTGCCTCTCTGCCATAGCCTGGGCTTCTCAAATTAACTGAGAATGTTGCTCACCAGTGTTTCTAGCTAATTCAGCAATCTTCT